CATGAAGATTTACAGTCTTGGAAACCCTCTACAGGGTCACTGAGAGTCTGAACTGACTCCATGGCACATAACCACCACCAACCTACACTGATAGAACTCCTGGTGTGGCGCTGTAGGATCGGCACTGGACTGCGAACCACATGGTCCATAGTTCAAACCCACTAGCTGCTCCTCAGAAATCCTATGCAGGGTTGCTATGAGTTAGAACCAACTCGACAGCACTTAACAACAACAACTACACTGAAACGTAAGACCCTGTTCCCAAATAGGGTGGTGGTTGTTAGATGCCATTGAGTTGGTACTGACTCATAGCGACCCCTATGCCCAGTAGAATGAAAAAACGACCTGATCCTGAGCCAACCTCACTACTGTTGCCACACTTGAGTCCATCGATGCTGCCACTTTGCCAGTCCATCTTGCTGGGGGTCTTCCTCTTTTTCTCTGACCCTCCACGTTACCAAACATGATATCCTTGTCCAGCAACTTGTCCCTCCTGACAATATGTCTGATGTATGCGAGACAAAGTTTGGCATGGCCTCCAAGGAGCACTGTGGCTGCACTTCTTCAAACACAGACTGTTAGTTCTTTGTACACCCACATTTATAGGGTTAAGATTCTAGCACATGGTTTCGGGGTGGAGGGGGTGGACAATTTATTCCGTCGCAGCACCTACTAAACCTGAGTCTCTCTAATGGCTGCTGCTCCCACTGATTGAGCCCAGTGCCACAGAGTTGGCAGATACACGCGACCAGTCAGAAGTAAATCAGAGCAGTGACAGTGTTGTCCTTGTCTAGCATGCTGCAGGTCTCACTACTCCTCAGTGAACCCTAGCAAGAAACCCTGATTTGAAAGAGACCCAATCTCCAGACTCTCTGATACTGTATTTGTTGGACCACCTTTGTCAACTGTAGAAGCCACAACCCATCTAAAGGCAGCGGCCATATTTAGCTCTAGCAGAGTGTTGCAGTGGGCAAATGAGGATCCTGAGTTGCTGGATCATTTGCTTTTGTTTTGGGTTTCCTCTTTTTCCCTCCAAGAAAAGCTGGGAACCACTAAACAAACATCTTGAGCCTTCCTCCCCACTCTTCGAATGTAACCTCACAAAGAAAGACCAAAAGTGTTCATTCTCTGCTACTTCAAGTAGCCCTGGAGTAAACATGCCTGCACACATTTCCTTGAATACTTGTGTGTATATATTCACAGGGTAATTCTTGGTGGAAACATTATATATGCATTTACAAATTTGATAGCAGTTAACAAATTGTCCTCAAAAAATGCTGTACCAGTTTATGCGCCCACCAACAAAATGTGAAATAGTATGTGTCCTAACATTTGTTCTTTTTTTTTTTCCCCTAGAACGTTCATTTTATATCTTATAATGCTTAAATCATTGAGTCCTTGGTGACTTTAAATTTTGTATGAGGCATAAAGTAGGAAACTAGTCAATTTTCCCCCCAGGAAGCCTTACAGTTGAACCAATACCTTAAACTGAATAATTTTATCTTTTCTTTTAATGTTTTATTGTGAATTATGTGATAGTTTACATGGGAGAACATTAGTTTTACATTCATCCTATCATTTCATTGCTATGGTTACAATCCCCTCCACGCATCATCAACCAATCAAAGGGTATACACTACAAGCCTGCCCCCCAGTCATCAGCACACAGCCCCTCTCCCTCTCTGTCTAAAGTCCCCAACAGCTCCATCTCTCCACGTCATCGTCTCTGCCTCCATCTCAGGCATCACTGCTTCTCTGGGTGGGGTCCTGCTCTCCACTCTTCTCCCTTGATGGTCCCAGGGACCTCCGCTCCTAGGCTGAAAAGTTAATCACTCCCCTCCTTGCTATAAAACGTCTACCTTTGCAATTCCAACCCTCACAAGCAGTCCTGATAACAGTTATTCGCTTTTGTATCACCCGAGATCCATCCGCATTTCATTTCATCAGCCCTGCCTAGACAGATGGTATACTACTCAGTGGAGATTCCACCTTCCTCCATGCACTTTGAATCTAGGTTCCCACTTGAAAGCTTGTAAGCCAGTCATTTCTTGCCTTTGTAGCCTCCCCCCGCCATTTTGGGTAGCCAATGTCCCAGTTGCCTATCCCTGTCTACTCTGTGTATGGAGGGGTTGTGGGAATGATCCTTGCTATAAGGATTTGTTCCCTCTTTGAGCTACTGCATCCATAGGTGTAGGTCAAGTTCATCAAATTGTTTCACATTACTCTTTTTTTCCTCTTTCTTCTTCTGGTTGAGCTCTGATCATCCAATCATTGAAGCCAGGTCAAGTGGGTATTGTATGCAAGTGTGGGTGTTCTTGTGCATATGCCCTCTCTTCTTATCAGCTGGATGCTTCACTCTCCACTCTAGTCCTCTGTGGCTATGTCACTGACTCTGGGCCCAAGAGTCCCCAGGTCTTGCCACACTGCTGGCCAACCAGGTCTTCACCCGGGTTCACAGAAGTCTATTAGCTTGCAACTTCATAGCTGTTTTCCCTCACTTCCCCTTATCAGTGTCGAGCGTGGTCACCAATCAGAGCGTGTATTCCCATTAAGTCTTAGTCTTGGAATAATTTTATCTTTTCTTGACTGACTGGAAATAGCACCTTTATCCATTTCTAGCTTTGAGTGTTTGTTATATGACAGAAAACTGTTGTATGCCCTTCACATGTACTAATTAATTTATTTTACTAGTTACATTTCCACTCAAGTGTCTAGTTTACAATAGTAGGCAAGGGAAACCACTATTCCTAAGACAGTCAAGCATCTTAACATTCTTTCCCTTCTTTTATCCATTCAGTCTTTGCCTCGATCCCAGTATCCCAGAGTCCTGATGTTCCGAGGTTGAACATACATCACTATTTACCTCTGACCCATGTAGCCCATGCAAACCTACCTGTTTCCTAACTACCCTATTCTTCCTCTTCCTCCCCCTTTTGTGTACCTTCCTATTCTTTGTAAACTGCCCTCTCCAACCCCTGAGCTATGATGTGACTATCCCCTAACCTGTGCTGTCCTCTTCCCTCCCTGTCACCCCTGGTAACCAACAAAGAATTTTCTTAAGCTTTTACAATAATGGTCATGTGCAGTCTTTGTCTTTTTGTGACTAATTTTACTTCAACGTAGACTCTTAGTGATCCATAAAACAGAGTAGTCCTGCTGCTCATAGTGTTTCCTAGGCTGTAAATTCTCACAGAAGCAGACTACCTCATCTTCCTCACACACAGCAGCTGTGGGTTCAAACCCGTGACCTTTCAGTTAGCAGCCCAATGCTTAACCTACAGCACAACCAGCGTTTCTTATTTTGTTGGCTTGGAAAGTTTTTAACTATAGGGTGACTGAGTCAATGTCAACCAGGAATACTAAGTCCCTAAAACATGACACTTTGCCAAGCAGGACTGGACAAAGCGGGACAAAGAAAAAGTTTGGGATTATATACATCCCTGTATGCATCTGACCCTAGCCATGGTACTTTCAGTTTTCTCATATGCATGTGAATGTTGGACAGTAAATAAGAAAGACCATAAAAGAACTGGTACTTAGGAGTTATGATGTTGGAGAAGAATATTAAAGGTACCATGGACTGCTAGACAAACAGACAGATCAGTGATGGAAGATGTACAGCCAGAAAGCTTCTTAAAAGCCAGGATGGTAAGACTTGGGACATATCAGGAGGGACCAGTCCCTGGAGAATAGTATCATGCTTGATCAAGTGGAGGGTCAGTGAAATAGAGGAATACCCCCAATGAGGAGGATTGATGCAGTGGCAGCAGAAATGGGCTCAGGCCTAATAGTGATGGTGAGGATGGCCCAGTACCGGACAGTGTTTCGTTCTGTTATACATAGGGTTATTAGGAGTCAGGACCGACTCGACGGCACCTAACGACAAGTAGAATATTAGATCACATTTTGTTAATAGAGCATTTTGAAAAATCTTACATGAATCTGATAAAAAGTCGCTGGAGCCCTGGAGCTGGCCCTGCCGGAAAGTCTTTTCCTAAAATCTCTCCGTAGATGTAAAAGCTTAAAATGTGAACATAATCACGGTTACTAGAAACAAAAAAACAGTTTAAAACCAATGTGTTGGAGGAATGTATGATGTATGTGCCTATTTGGGCAGGACTAGAGCTGTGTCATTTCATTGTGTTTAACAGAAAGATATTCTGCTGTCTTGGATATTCTTATTACATTCACTTCTGACGTTCTTAACAGTCTAATTCTTGCTATTTTGCAAGCCTTCTGATTTTCAGAGCCACCTTGTATGTTTCATCATTTTCCATGGTGTGTTTGATTCTAGGAGTGTGAACAGGAAGACCAAGATGAAGTTTGTGCACACCTCTGTGCACGGTGTGGGTCATGACTTTGTGCAGTCGGCCTTCAGAGCCTTTTCCTTTGTCCCCCCCGACGCTGTTCCTGAACAGAAAGACCCTGACCCTGAGTTCCCAACAGTGACATACCCAAACCCGGAAGAGGGTAAAGGCGTCTTGGTAACTTTTTTTTTTTCTTTACTGCAAAAAATCTATCTTTTATACTCAAAACTATTACCAGTAAAATGAGTTGTTGGATGTTTGTCATGTGCTGATGCAGTGGTTCTGTAAACACTGAACTGCCAACCACAGGTTTGGTGGTTCGAGCCCACCAGCGTCTCCACAGGAGACAGATGAGGCTTTCTGCTCTCACAAAGATTTGCAGCCTCAGAAACCCTATGCAGGGTCGCTGTTGGTTAGAACCAATTCGACGACACTCAGTAACAATAACAAACTATGCTGATGGAGGCTAAGCCTTGGGCTGCTAATCACAAAGTTGGTGGTTTAACTGCACCAGCTGCTGTCTGCACCTGTAATGATGTACAGTCTCCGAAACTAAGGAGCCCTGCTGCTCTGTCTTACAGGGGTGCTGTGAGTCCAAATGGATTTGACAACAGTGGGTTTGGTTGGAGTTTAGTGTACTAATGATAAAGTAATAATTCATCGTTAGAAATATTTATGTTTATTAGTAATGAATTTCATAAAAGAACTTTCGAATTAGACCCTAGTATAGGCCGTGCAGGAGTCCTGGTATGGTGATACAGGGTAAGTACTGGACCTCTAACTGTACCATCAGCAGGTCCTCGGAAACTATACAGGGTCCCTATGAGTCTACAACCCTTAACAACAAAAACAAAATGCCATGGTAAGGAGCCCTGGTGTTGCTGTAGGGTAAGAACTGAACTACCAATTGCAGGATCAGCCTTTTAAACCCACCAGCCACTCCACAGAGAAAAATAAGGCTGTCTTTTCCTGTAAAGATTTATAGAGTCAAAACATGACACGAGGTCACCTGAGTTGTAACCGACTGGATGGCAGTGGGTTTTTAGGGGAGGAACTTATGTGCTCTAGCAGCACATAGACTAGAGCACTCAGCTGTTAACCAGAAGGCTACCAGTTCAAGCCTACCAGCTGCTGCATGGGTAAACGTTGTGGTTGTTCACTTCCTAAAACATTTACAGCATTGAGACAATTCTCCTACGCCCTTCAGGGTTGCCGTGACTCAGAATCAACTTCACAGTAGTGGGTATGGGTTTTGGTTTGGTTATAAGGAGTTTGGTGGCACAGTGGGTAAAGTGCTTGGCTGCAAACAAGAAGGTTGGTTATTTGCATCCACCAGCCCCTCCGCAGGAGAATGATGAGGCAGTCTGCTTCTGTTAACACTGTAGAAGCTTGGGAACCCAAAGGGACAGTTCTTTGTCCTACAGGGTTACTGTCACTTGGTATCAACTCACTGACAATGGGTTTGGTTTTTTGGTTTTGGTATCAGGATAGTGCAAATGGTTAAGCACTGATGATTCAACAAAAGACTGGTGGTTTGAACCCACCGAAGAAGCATCAGAAGCTGGCCTGGTGGTCTCCTTCTGACAGCCTTGAAAACTCTTAAGGAACAGTTCCGCTCCGCACACACGGGCTCACCCGGAGTCGGAAGCCACTCAGCAACTGGTGTATTTTCTTAATCAGTTTATGAAAGCTGAAATCTAAATGTTGTTTGTGTTGAATGAATTTAGTTTTCATTTTATCTGCTGTGTTTCCTTAATGCCAAGAGGCGGCAGTAATAGATTTACTACCTAATAGAATTTTTTTCTTTTTAAAGTTTTTATTTTGAATTGAGTGAAGGTTTACAGAGCAGATCATCAGTTTTACGTTTAACAAACCATCCACTACTTCATTATATGATTGCAATCCCCTCCATGTACCAACAGTTAACAGTATTCACTTTATCTGTTTAATTCCTCCTTATGTCTCCTGCTACCTTCATCTTTCCTCACTCTCATTGTATATTGCCTGACCTGTCACCTATGTTAACGTGTGTCTACCCTCTAGCGCATGATTAAGTTTCCTTCCCCCTCCACCCCCTGTACTCATCATAGTTTCTTTTATCAAGAAAACCATTTTTTAACTTTTAATATTGGTCTCATACAATGTTTTTGTGTTTTTTTTTTTTTGTGGTTGACTAATTTCACTCAACATACTGTCCTCCAGGAGCCCTGGTATGGTGCTATGGGTTAATGCTCTGGACTGCAAAGTCGTTTGAACTGCAAGGTCTGGGGTTCAAACCCTATATGGCATTGCTATGGGTCGGAACCAACATGATGGCACTTAACCACAACAACGATGTCCTCCAGGTTCAACCATGTTGTGGGGTATTTCCCAGATTGATCATTATTCAGAATTTTATGATATTCCATTGTGTGTATATTACCAAAGTTTGTTTAACTTTGGGCATTTAGTCTGTCTCCATCCTTTTTGGTATGTCTCTTATAGACAGCATATGAAAGGATCCTGCTTTCTTATCTTGATCACACCTAATAGTTTATATCCCTTAATGATCTTTTCTCTGATATGAAGAAGTGTTGTTTAAATTATGGTTCCCAGAACCTTTTTAACCTTTGTGATATTCACAGATAGGTCTAGTTTGGTTTGATTGTGAGATTGGTCATATGATGAAAGCCTGGAAATACCAGTCCAACCACACACACACCTTCAGATAGAATGCATCCCACAGGCAGTTGTGAGTCCCACATTGAGTCTCCCATTAGAGAGATTCTTTGACCAAACAAGACCAGCTCCAGAAGTCAAATTCGGCCTTAGTTTGGGGAAAGTTTTTGTTTTGGTTTCCTAGGACTGCTACAACAAAATACCATGAAGTGGGGGCTTGATTCCTTCTGAGGCTTTCCGAGGTCATGTGAGCCACACCTCTTTTCTGGTTGCCGGCACCCCAAGTGTTGCTTGGCTTATAGGTGTGTCTTCACATGATCTTGCGTCCTCTGTCTGTCTGTGTTTCTTCTCATCTTTTATGAGGACACTACTCTTATTGGTGCTATGGGATAAACACTGGTGTGGTGCTATGGGATAAACACTGGACTGCAAACCACAAGGTCAGCAGTTCAGCCCACCACTGCTCCTTGGACGCCCTGTCCAGGGTCACTCTGAGTCAAAATTGACTCAACAGCATTTACCACCAAGAACAACATTCCTATTGGATTAGGAGCCACGTAACTCCAGTATGATTGGCTGATAACTGATGGAAACAGATTACATCTTCAGAGACCCTGTTTCTAAACAAAGCCCTATTCACGGGTACTGGACTTAGAACGTCAGCATATCTTGAAAGGGTACATACAGCAATCCATAACTGTCCTTTTGGTTCTTAAAAACTGGGAATGTTAAAAGACTACAATATGCTCAGTTGTTGATCTAAGTAATTTTTGTTGTTGTTTTCAAACTTTTTCAGACTCTGTCTTTTGGTTTGGCTGACAAAACCAAGGCCCGGGTTGTTTTGGCAAATGACCCAGATGCTGATAGACTTGCTGTGGCTGAAAAGCAAGACAGGTACAATTAACTGTGATAATCTACATGCTGAGAATTGCAGAACATCACGTCTTCCAAAAGTAAAGTGTTCTTGGCGAGGCTGGACCTGTTTGAAAAGATTTCCCATTTGTTTTGCAAATGATCGTTTCATTGAACCTCCCATGAAGCCCTCTAACAGAGCAGGGTATTCATCTGTGGGGGGGGGTCTCGTGACTGGTAAGCATAATGCAGAGTAAGTCAACCCAGTATTTCTATCCTTATTTTATAATTGCTTTTCTTTATTCAATGGATATGGCATCTGGTGGGACAATGGGTAAGCAAGCACTGAGCTGCTCACGTAAAGGTTGGCAGTTCAAACCCACTCACTGACTCCAAGGAGGAAGACCCTAGTAATCTGCTTCTGTAAACATTACAAGCAATAAAACCTGGGGCTGTTGCACTCTGCCACGTGGCATCACTGTGAGTCAGAATGAGTTCCATGGCACATGATAGCAACCAGCAGCAGAATGCCTCCGGACTGAATTAGGGAAGGTATTTTGTTTGGTGTTAGCTTTGCAGTTCAGTATTTGCCACGGGGTGTGTTGAGGAGCTAAACTGAGGAGTGTTGGATTTAGGTGAGCAGACCTGTGGGATACTAACACAGTTTTTAAGACATGTTTGATTTAGAGTGTGTACCAAGGCATAGTAAGTAAGTGAGGAACAAACTTGAAAAATAAGTAGTGTCCATACAGTTTCGTGTGTTAAACCAAGTGTTTCTGATGTCTTATCAGTGGTAAGGTACTACCTAAGATATAGGCCTTTAAATCATGAGCAGGTTCATTGCTGCATCAGTTTCTAAGAAAGCTAAGCTAATGGGATGTATAGTGAGATGGGGGACTGACTTCTAGCCATCTGGATTACAGAGAGGAACATAAATGCATGGCCTCTGGTGCACTAACTGCTCTGTCTTACAGAATGCTGGGTTATTACCCTGTCAGAATGAGCATGACTGACCAGACCAAACATTGAGGTGGCTGTTACTGTAACATGCTGTCAGGTCGGTTCCAACTCACAGTGACCCTATATAGAGTTTTCTGAGGCTATATATATATCTTTACAGGAACAGAAAACCTCATCTTTTCTCCTACAGAGCAGTGACTGTTGGGTTTGAACTGTTATCTTTGCAGTTAGCAGTCCAGTGCGTACCCTACAGTGCCACCAAAGCTCCTTAAACACTGAAGTACACACATTATTTTATAATCAGGAGATCTTGCCGGCATAGTCCAGTTATGCTTAAAACCAAAGCAGAGGACTAAAATAAAAGCATTCTGTGTGATCACTGACAACTGGTTTCACGTGATCCCCAGAGAGGATTTCTAGCAAGGCAGCCTGTCTGTTAACATGAATCTCAGATGTTTAGGAAGTAGGAGTTCCCTTTATGGCCATTTATTTGAAGATGGTGAATAGCAAGAGTGGCTTTGCAGATACTACTATGAGCCTATTTGCTTACTTGTGTCTCAGTGACTGCTAGTATCTTCCCTTAGATCATGGTAATACTGGTTGTTGTTTTTTCTTTCAGTGGTGAGTGGAGAGTGTTTTCAGGCAATGAGTTGGGGGCCCTCTTGGGCTGGTGGCTCTTTACCTCTTGGAGAGCAAAGAAGCAGGATCGTAATGCCCTCAAAGACACATACATGCTGTCGAGCACTGTCTCCTCCAAAATCTTACGGGCCATCGCCTTAAAGGAGGGATTTCATTTTGAGGTAAGCTGTTTGAAAACATCACTCCTTTGCCTCTCTTTGGCTTTGCAGAGGATCTAAGGCAATTCTTTCTCTTTTGAATGATCCCTTTAGGAAACCTTAACTGGCTTTAAGTGGATGGGCAACAGAGCCAAGCAACTAATAGACCAGGGGAAAAATGTTCTGTTCGCATTTGAAGAAGCTATCGGTAAGAGGTGGTAATGGGAATGATAGAATCAATATATAGAGAATGGATTGGAGTTTGGATGTGAGTTCAAAAGATACAGGGAAAGATGAGCACACAATTTATTTTTGTTTCTGTGATGTTCTGGTAGTTCTTCCTTGAGCTTGAGCTTCCCTACTCCCAAATTAGCATCTCAGATTTATTTTCAGCTGAAAGGAATATGTTACAAATAACCAGGCTATTAATGTAAGAAAGAAAAGGTTTTCCTGGGTAACAGGAACAATGGTGTCTGCGAGGCTGCTGCTGGTAGCCTAAGAATCCATATGTTGTTGTGAGCTGTGATGTTTCTTCGGCTGTGGGATTTCATATCCAGGCCTGCTATTGTCCCTGGCCCCCTGAGAGCACTACCAGAAGATCTGTGCTGAAGTATGCACTCTCGTGATGCTCTGGTCGAAATGATGGTCAACCAAAGGACAGCGCCAGGTCCCACCTGAATGACTGAAAAACCCTTGTCCTAAATGATTTGTCAATATACGTTAGTAGAAAGGAGAGTCCGCTAAAAAAATTTGGAATTGAGGTGTTTTTGCTGGGAATATTTAGCTATTAGTTGAGTAATAATGATTATATGCTGTATAAGTTATAAAACTGTGTTATTTGAAGAAGCTCTTGATAAGACCTAGTACTGTGAATGGCTCATCTTATATTCTCTGATGAATTTGAATGAAGTGTAATAGCTCAGCTTTAGAATTTTTGTTGACAGATTTGGCAGGTTTGTCTTTCAACGGGTTTATAAATTTAAATATCACTTTATTTGATATTTTTTATAGACTTTTATTTTTAAAGCACTTTTAGGCTTCCAAAAAAAATGGTAGAAAGTAGAAGAGTTGGGTATGCATTTTATTTCTTCTATGAACATCTAGCAGTTCCATAGGTTTTCATGTTGTTTAAATAGGATGATAATTACATTTGTTTATTAAATGTCTGGTTTTGTTAGGTGCCGTCAAGTCAGTTCCAACTCAGTGACCCTGCATAAGGTTTCCAAGGTTATACATTTTTATGGGAGCAAAAAGCCTCATCTTTCTCCCATGGAGTGACTGGTGGGTTTGAACTGCCAACCTTGTAAGATAAGCAGTCCTGTGCTGATTCTGCAGCGCCAACAGCACCCCATTAAATGTTGATTGCATATGGAGTACACAGCAATTCTGAATGAAATGGATGCTGCTGGCCTTGGCCTCCTGTTGTTAAATGTTGTTGAGTTGATTCTGAATCATCGCAACCATGTATAGATTTCTGAAGAGTAGCTGGTGGGTTTGAACCATGGATCTTAGGGTTAGCAGTCCAGTGCTTATTTGATAATGCCATACTTGGCCTACAGCTGCTTATATATGTCTATTAAGTAACCACACAGTTCTGTGTGGCTCCTTCCTTCTGCCGCAGCAGCCATTGAAGAAAAGTAGCCATGGCTGTGCATTATCCTATGGCTGTTGGCCTCAACAAGGGCCACAAAGTAACCAAGAACGTGAGCAAGCCAAGGCACAGCCACCACTGTAGGCGCCTCACCAAGCACACTGAATTCACGCCGGACATGATCCGGGAGGTGTGTGGTTTTGCATCATATGAGCGCTGGACCATGGAGCTGCTCAAGGTGTCCAAGGACAAGAGGATACTCAAGTTCATCAAGAAAAGGGTGGGGATACACATTCATGCCAAGAGATCATCACGAGGCTGCTCAGCAACGTCCTGGCCGCCATGAGGAAAGTGGCTGCCAAGAAGGACTGAGCAGGTCCCTGTCCACTGTGCCCTTCTCCCGCGCCCCCCCCCCCCAGTAAAAACCTTTACAGAAAAAAAAGTAACCACACAGAAGAATATAGGGGAGGTGTCAAGATGAATAATGGAAGCAGTGAAAACTGTTGGGATTCTGAGGAACATTGTTGGTGCAGTGGTTAAGTGCTCAACTGCTGACCCAAAGGTTGGCAGTTCAAACCCACCAGCCACTCCAAGTAAGAAAGATTGACAGTCTTGGAAACCCATGAGGCAGTTCTACACTGTCCTACAGGAATCACTAAGTTGGAATTGAATAGACAACAAGGGTTTATTTGGGTTCAGGGAAGGAAGAGATAAGTGTTGACTAGAACAACTAGAAATTATTTCCCGTGAGCTGGAGGGATTTGAGTGGGACTTACTGAATGAGCATGATTTGGCCTTGAGAAAAATTCTCATACAGGTTATTTAACAAATATTTCTTGAGGGCTTGCCATGTGTTAGTGTAGGACTATTTTCTTTAACATAGAGTGGTCAATGAGAATCATCCTTATTGTGATCGGTAGGCTGTGTGCTCACATGTGACTTTGTACAGTGATGTGAAGGAAACAGAGGATTTGAGCGTGCTGTGTTGTGTGTTTTCTACAGGGTATATGTGCTGCCCCTTTGTTCTGGACAAAGATGGAGTCAGTGCCGCTGTCATATGTGCCGAGTTAGCCAGCTTTCTAGCAACCAAGAATGTGTCTTTGTCTCAGCAGTTAAAGGCTATCTATGTTGAGTAAGTTTCTATGTAATCAAAGTACTATTGTTAAATTGTTGTGTATAAGATGCTAGCATTTAGTGGTTGTAAATATGACTTCTTATAAAAACTAAGTAAAAGATCACCTTTCCTTTGGATGCTTAACCATGTAACATTACCTACCATTCACAGTCACATGCATTAGGTGGCTAATTGAAGACTATGAGGGGACTTTACACATCACACAAAAAAATCCCATTATCTTTCAATTCCATTTTTCGATGAACTTTTTGAAGCCCCCTCATATCCTTTTAAGTGTCCCGTGTCAAAAGAAGAATTAAATGTATTTTAATTATAAAATAATTACTTTAAGATTCACAGCAAAATTCTAAGTTGAATAAAGCATGATGTGAATTCCCAACATATAAAACATTTAAATGAATCTTTTGGTAGCTTGTTAGCAGTTTGATTGTTTGTAGATGTACTATTCCTATGATAAATAATGAGGATTGTGTGTTTATGAGTGTAAAGCAGTATCTTAATTCCTGGTGAGGAGACTCCAGATAAAATATCTTGGCCAATTTGAATTGAAGGAACGTGGATCATTTTTAGGGGTGGAGATGATGAAGACAAGTCTCTTTGGAAACAAAATAATGCATTAATTGATAAATACGGCATTTTGTCCACATGACACTTTGTGTCGATTGTCACCTACTTAGCTTTTGCTTCTCTTTTAGATGTTGGAGATTCAGCACTTCCTACCTGTGTGTATGATGTAGTCAGCAGAAATTGTTTTACCCCAAGTCATGAGTACCTATTTGTTTACATTAGACTAGCCAAGTCCTTATTTGTATTCTTTACCACTGGTAATGTACACAGACTAGCTTACTGGACTGCTAGTTGGAAGGTGGGTGGTTTAAACCCACCAGCCATTCCTTCTTGTTGTTAAGTGCTGTCAAGTCGGTTCTGACTCATAGTGACCCTGGATAGGGTTTCTGAGGAACAGCTAGTGAGCGTGATCCAC